GCCAATACTCCACGAAGTTTCAAGATCACAATTTCTCTCAGAATATCTTTACAACATATAGAAGTCATCAATTAAGCATGGAAGGCATAACAACAACCAAACTATTTGTAAAATAAGGAATCACGGTCATGCTACTCACCAATGTATAGATGCTCGTCACCATGCCTATACATTGTACTCGACAATTAGCAAGTTACAAATAAGACTCAACTCCTATTCCCTCAAGCTAGGGTTAAACCAAACACTTACCTCGATGCCTTGAACTCAACTCAAGCCTCAACTATGGCTTTACCCCGTAATTCCACCTCCAATCCCCTCGAATCTAGCCACAAATTACTTAATTGCTTTAATAAACATTAAATGAATCAATTTGAATGCATAAAAATGAGTTTCCCAAAGTTTTTCCCAAAAATTCCAAAATCGCCCTCGGGCCCACGTGGTCAAAACCCGAAGTTCGAACCAAAACCCGGTTACCCATTCCCCACGAACTCAAATATGTAATTTGTTTTGAAATCGGACCTCAAATTGAGGTCCAAATCCCGAATTTTTAGAAAACCTAGGTTCTACCCAAAACCCCCAATTTCACCCATGAAAATCATTGATTTTAAGTGAAAAACATGTTAAATGATGTTAATGATTGAAAGAAATGAGTAGAAATTAACTTACAATTGTTTTGGAGAAGAAAGATTTCTTGGAAAATCACCTATGGGTGTTTGAGTTTGAGAAAATGTGAAAAATGAAGTTCAAAATAGGTTAAGTATAAAATATGCTGGGCTGCAGATATGGGAAATGCGAACTTGGGTTCGTACAGGTATGGGAAATGCGATAAAAATGTTCGCATTTGCGAACTCAGGCCAGTTTGGGGGTCTTCGCATTTGCGACACTAAACTTCGCATTTGTGAAATGTCCAACCTCGCAATTGCGAGATTTTTGGTCGCATTTGCGAACCCAGCACAGTTCCCCCTTCCTCGCAATTGCGATGCCAGGCTCGCATTTGCGAGCTCGCAATTGCGAGGCCTGCTTCGCAATTGCGAAAATTGCAGAACTGAAATTCCAGATTTCCCTAAGTTCAAAAATGCACTCCGACACCTATCCAAAACTCACCCGAGCCCTCGGGGCTCCAAACCAAATATGCACACAACCTCAAAAATATCCTATGGACTTATCCGTGTGATCAAATCGCCAAAATAACATCATAAACAATGAGTCAAACCTCAAAATCACTAGTTTTTCTTCAAACTTCATAAACTTTCAAATTTAGAGTTTTAAGTCCGAAACACGTCAAACGACGTCCGATTTCAACCAAATTTCACAGAAAGCGCTTAAACAATATATAACACTAGTACCGGGCACCGGAACCAAGATACGGGCCCGATACCACAATCTTCTAATCAAATTTCATTTCCAATTTCCTTAATTATTTTCAGAAAATAATTTCACACAAAAATTCATTTCTCGGGCTTAGGACCTCAGAATTCGATTCCGGGCATACGCCCAAGTCCCATATTTTCCTACAGACTTTTCGGGACCGTCCAATCACGGGTCCGGGTCCGTTTACCCAAAAAGTTGACGGAAGTCAAATTTATTCAATTTAATATCAAAATTTAGCATTTTTCTCACAGAAGTTATATTTAAGCTTTCCGGCTACGCGCTCGGACTGCGCATGCAAATCGAGGCAACCCCAAATGAGGTTTTCAAGGCCTCAGAAGCACATGATGAGTAAGGAAACAAGTGGTGACCCTTTGGGTCGTCACATATGGTATCTACCCTTTGCATGCATAGTTACCCGCCCTTTTCACTAGCCGTCCCCAAGAGTTTATTACAAGTTATTACAACCCAAATTAAAGTAAAAATAAATACATCAGAAAAAATACAAATACAAGGACAACCAAGGAGAGCCTGATTCAGACTTCATGTCTGAAATATGAGGTAAACCAACTCCATAAGATCATGATCCAAAGCCTTTCTCCCATCTGAGTGTGTCAAAGTTCCCTAAGAGCCTCAAAGGGACTCCGGGCAATGCTCACACCCAAATGTATTACCAGATTAACACAAGTGTAGTGTGGGAAGGCCAGCCCTCAAGTGTCCAAGTTCAGAGGGAACTCAAGGTCCCAAGGCAAGGCTCACAAGAGGCAGAACTTAAAGACTAAGAGAGAGTGCAAGTGTAGAAGCCGAATTCTGAGAGGGGAAAGGGGAAAAGGAGAGGAAAATAAGTACACATAAGGGGTTCAGGGGAATAGGGAAATTGAAAGAGGCAAGGGCAGGATGTGGGCATGCCCAACAATGGAGAATGCTAGCATACCATAAGCTTGTCCAAACACACATTAATAGAGGCTAGGATCCCAAGGGATCAGGTTTGATTCATGGGCAACAATTTACATATTGCCATGATCCAAACCATAGCTTAAACACACAAGGGGGTGGGGAATAGAGATTCATAACAGAACAGGCAGGAAAAGAAATGCTGAACTATACAAAAGCAGTAAGTAGATAGGGATAGACACATTGTTGTGGTGCTGAAACTTAAATCAGAACATACCAGTTTCAAAGAAACAAGTAGAGAAAAGCAGTAAGTCTTGCAAACAGGCCACGATGCAGACAATAAGAGAAAGTACTATTGCGTGTAAGTGTGAGTTCAGAAAGACTATGAGTGAGTCGTGTGTGTTAATGAAAGAGTCGTGCATTTATAGTGTGAAAATCAGGCAGAAATAAGGTAAGAAAATAGTTTAGGAACTGAATATCAATTAAGAATCAATCACACAAGACTTCCTTTAATTAAGGATTTCAGATTCAAACGGTAAAAGTTATTTAAGGAAAGAAATCAAACAAGCATTTTTGTGCAAAGTACGCAATTAGGGGTAAATACATAGAAGTTTATTTTAGGGGCAGAGCTTTGAATTACACGGTTGCATAAATAAGGTAAGAGAAATCAATTAGTAGCCAGCAAATCAAGGATCAGAGATTTTGTAATCACTGGTCCATGAATGAACCAAGTCAGAATAGTTAAGGACAATCAAATAACTTAAATCGAGTCATAGGGAAATCAGCAAACAAGGAAAGAAATCAGTCAAACCTATACAGAAGGAAGTCTGAAACTAATCAAAATTTGAAAGTCATTTTAGAGGGGAAGTTCAGCGCATATAAAGAGCATACAAACATTTTAAGAAGATGTCGTGTCAATGCAAAATACGTAGATAATAGACTATAGGAGCATGGTAGTCACATAGGTTAGCAATGTAGAAGAGAAGTAGCATCTAGTAGCATACAAAAGATCCAGTGTAAAAGACCTTAGAAAAGTTTTAGGGGAAAATCAGAATTGCTTAAAGAGACAGAGGTTGAGACAAAGAATTTCGAGACTCAGTTAAGTAACAAGTTCAGAACCTCGAAATAGTTAGGGTTTCTGAAATCAGATAGCTTTGAAGATGAAGAACAAACATATCACATAGCCAATGTTCTCAAACCCGGATGAACCCCTAAAGTTTAGGGTTTTACCATCAATCGAGTGCCGAGATGAGAGGGCGGGTAATCAAGAAAGCAAAAGATACTAGTCAAAACAAGTTCAAAGGTCTTACAAAGGAACTGGGACCTTCGACATGCTTTTCAGTAACAGAAACTCATGAGAAACAAAGCGAAAAATAATGTGCGAAACAACAGTAGAAGAACTGGTAGAAGAAACAAATAAAAACATGGTAGGGAAATCATAACAAGAGCACAGTAGGAGCAACATAATAGAAGAACATGGTAGAAGAGATTTAACAAGAACATAGTAGGAGAAACATAGTAGAGAATATACAAGAGAAGAAGAAAATCAGAGAAACACACATAACTCAAAACCCTAGATCGGAAAATAAAGGTTTTGAAAGCATAACTTTTTTTTTTGAAAAAAAATCAGAAAATCGTTTAAAAACTTAGGGAAAGCATAAATCTGGAACAGGTCTAAAGAGATCAGAAAAACCTCAAAGCTAGGATTTTCAGAGGAACCCAAACGGTGAGAAAGGCTTGGATCTAAGCAGGAGGAGTTGAGGCCAGGCTCGAACAGACACGGCTTGCCGGAGATGGCCGTGGAACTTGAATCGACAGAGGTCTGGACCCAACTCTTCGTGGTCAAGTCATGAAAATTCAGTAAGCAAACGTGAGGAGCCATAGGTGGCTTGGTGGGTGGTGAAAGCACCATGGATTCAGGTCAGAAAGTGGCCGGAGAAGATGAAGGGAACTCATCGGAGAGGAGGGGAAGGGGGGAAGGTTCTAGAGAGAACCAGAGGTTAGAGAGATAGAGACGAGTGAGGCAAATGAGGGGTTTGGGGGGTCGTTTGGCTTAAAATGGTAAGAACGGATGAGGGCCGTTGATCGTTTAGATCAACGGCCAGGATTTAATATGGTTTTGGGTCGGGTAGGGGTAATTGGGGCCTTGGTCGGGTTTTAATTGAAATTGGGCTGGAAATTGGAGTCCAATTTGGGGTCAGATTTTAGGCTAAAATTGAAACGAATTGGGCTATTATTTAAATAGCCAATTTTCCCTTTTAAAATTATAAAAAATAGTAAATTGATTTCTGGAAATAAATTGAAAGCACCAAAATGATCTATAATACATAATTATCCATTTAAAAATATGAAATCTCATTTATGAATATGAGACGAATTTAAACCTAAAAATGGCTAATATTGCAATTATGCAATTCTATCCTTAAAAATACCAAATAAATTTGTAAAAAATGTGTAAAAAATACCTTAGCCATATATAAATATAAAATTCAAAGAAATGAATTACCAAAATAATAATTTTGGAAATAATCATTGGGTTTTGATGGATGAAAAGGGAAATAAATCAGTTTAAAATCTTTAAAATTATGAGAAAAACAGTAAGATGCTTGGACATACTTATATATATGCATATATATGCTATTTTTAGAGATATTTTGCATATAAAAATATACAGGGAAAAGTTGGGTATCAACACCTGATAAGTGTGGATATCTGCAATGCATGTCCTCCTGGATCTCTTAAGTCACCTCCTTGACTGGCTGACCCCTCCATTGAAGCTTCATAGCTGAAATCTCCTTAGACCTTAATCTGCGATCTTGCCTATCAACAATGGCAACCTTCTCCTCCTCATAACTCAAGCTCCCATCCATCTGAAATATGCTATAATCCAACACATAGGACCTGTTGGCATGGTTCTTCCAGAGCATAGACATGTGAAATACCGGATGAACCCCCGATAGGCTAGGAGGCAAAGCAAGTCTGTATGCAACCTCGCCAACTCGCTCCAAAACATTGGATGCGCCGATGAACCTCAGACTCAACTTTCCTCTCCTTCCGAATCTCCTGATACTCTTCATCAGCGAGAATTTCAAAAGTACCTTCTTGCCCACCATAAATGACAAATCGTGTGTATTCGCGTAACTCTTCTACCTGGACTGTGATGTACGAAGTCACTCCTCAGTCATCTTTACCTTATCTAAGGCATCCTTTATCAAATCAGTACCATACAACCTAGCCTCGCCGGGCTCGAACCAATCAAGAGGGGAATAATAGTCGACCATACAAGGCCTCAAAAGCAGCTATCTTAATGCTAGATTGATTGTTTTTGTTGTACACCAACTTGGCCAACGGTAAGAATCGATCTTATTGCCCTCCGAAGTCAATCACGTACGCTCTAAGCTTATCATCCAGAATCTGAACTGTTCGCTTCGAATGCTCGTCGGTCTGTGAATGAAAGGCCGTGCTAAGCTCTACCCAAGTACTGAAATCAGTCTGTATTTCTCTCCAGAAATACAAAGTGAACTGAGTAGCTCGATCTGAAGTAATGGAGATAGGAATGACATGCAACTAAACAATTTCCTAGATACAAATCTGGGCCAACCTCTTCGAAGTATATATAGTCATCACCGGAATAAAGTGCGCAAACTTTAGTCTGTCGACAGTGACCCTAAAAACATCAAATTTCCTCAATGTCCACGGCAAGCAAATCACGAAATCCATAGTGACGCACTCCTATTTCCACTACGGTATAACCATCTGCTAAAGTAAGCCACTTGGCCTCTGGTTCTCGTAGTTAACCTGCTGACAATTCAAACATCTCAACACATGCTCAACTATGTCCTTAATCCACTACCAGCAGTAATGCTGCCTCAGGTCGCGATATATCTTCGTGGCACTTTGATGAATGGAATAACGCAAACTGTGTGCCTCCTCTAGAATTGACTCCCTCAGGTGATCAACATTAGGAACACATATTCAACCTTGGAGTCGCAGTACACCATTATCTCTGATAGTCACCTACTTGGAATCAACTCATAGTATCGTCTCTCTAAGGACCAAAAAGTGCGGATCATCATTCTGACGAGCCTTAATCTGCTTGAATAAAGAAGACTGAGCCACAAAACACGCAAGAACATGACTAAGCTATGTAATATACAACCCCATAAGTCGGTTAGCCAAGGAGTGAATGTTCAAAGTGAATGGCCTCTGCTCTGCTGGAATGAACGCCAAACTATCCACACTCTCAGCCTTTCTGCTCAAGGCATTTGCGACCACATTCGCCTTGTCCAGATGATAAAGAATGGTATTGTCAAAGTCTTTCAATAACTCAAGCCACCTGCATTGCCTCAGATTGAGATCCTTCTGGTTAAACAGATGTTATAGCTACGGTGATCAGTGTAAACCTCACACGAAACTCTATAAAGATAATTTCTCCAGATCTTAAGAGCATGACCTATCGCATCCAACTCAAATTTGTGCACATGGTAATGCTTCTCGTAAACTGACAAGAATCATATGCAATAACTTGATCCTCCTACATGAATACACAACCCAACCCAACGCGTGAAGCATCGCAATCCACTATGTACATCCCTGAATCGGAAGGCAAAACCAATACTGGTGATGTAGTCAATGGGGTCTTGAGCTTCTGAAAGCTCCCCTCGTAATCATTGGACCACCTAAACGGATTACCCTTCTAGGTCAATCTAGTAAAGAGGAGCTATAATAGATGAGAAGCCCTCAACCAACAATAATAACCTGATTTCCCCAAGAAACTCCTAATCTCGATCGTTGTGGTAGGATGAGGCAAACTATAAACTACCTTGATCTTCCTTGGACCCACCTTAATACCCTCACTGGACACAATGTTCCCCAAAAAAGTCATAAAATCTAATAAGAACTCACACCTGGAGTGCTTAGCATACAACTTTTGTTCCTATAAGGTCAAAAGCAATATCCTTAAACGCTGCCCGCACTCCTCCATGCTATAGGAGTAGATCAATATACCATCAATGAAGACAATGACAAATGATTCAAGATATGGTTCGAACACCCGATTCATCAAATCTTTAAATATTGCTGGAGCATTAGTCAAGCCGAAGGATATCACTAAAAACTTGTAGTGCCCATATCCAGTTCAGAAAGCCGTCCTTGGAACATCCTAAGCACGAACCCTCAACTGATGATACCCAAATCTTAAGTCGATCTTTGAGAACACTCACCCTGAAGCCGATCAACCAAATCATCAATGAACGACGACAAATACTTATTCTTGATTGTGACCTTATTCGGCAGTCAGTAAACAATGTATATCCGCATACTCCCATTTTTATTCTTCACTAATAATACCGCTACGCCCCAAGGTGACATACTCGACATGATGAATCCCTTATCGAGCAACTCCTGAAGCTGCTCCTTCAGCTCTCAACTCCATGTGAGCTACATGATAAGATGGAATAGAGATAGGCTTGGTGCATGGTGCCAAATAAATGATGAAATCGATATCACGATCCGGCAACATGCTTGGTACATCAGCAGGAAAAACATCGGAAACTCCCCTACCACAGGAACTGAACCTATCCTGGAAGTCTCCATATCATTATCTCAAACAAAGGATAAATAGGCCAAACAACCCTTCTCAACCATATGTAGAGCCTTTAAGAAAGAAATAACCCTACTCGATGTACTACTAGATGAACCTCGCCGCTCAATCCTAGGCATCTATGGCATCGCCAAGGTAAAAGTCTTGGCATAGAAATCAAGAATGGATTGATACAAAGACAACCAATCCATTCATAAGATAACCTTGAAGTCAATCATATCGAGCAATAAAAGATCCGCTCTAGTCTCGTACCCACAAAAAGTTACTACACAGGACTGGTAAACCTGATCCACAAAAACACAATCCCACCTGAGTGGACACATATACAGGAAAACCCAAGGACTCACGAGATACATCCATATAAGGATCAAAAAGAGAAGATACATAGGAATAGGTAGACCCTGGATCAAATAGTACTGAAGCATCTCTATGGCAAATAGAAATAATACATGAGATCACAGTATAGGAGGCTATGCCTTTGGTGTACCTGGAAAGGCATAAAATCTGTCCAGAGCGCCACCTGACTGGTCTCCACATCAAGGGTGACCCTTACCCACCTGACCTCGCCTATGGCCGCGATGTGGCAGCTGGTGCGATAATCATGGGCTGATGACCCTACTGCACTGCCTTGCCCGAAGTCTGGGATAAAACTTCTTTACATGACCAAACTCCCTGCACTCGAAACAACCTCTCAGGGTGGAAAACTATTGAATCTGGATCTGGCCTTGATGGACTGAGTACCCACTAGAGGAACTATGAATAGCTGGCGGATAGTAGGTGCTCTCTGGAATGTCACTAAAGTAAGCCCACCGCTAAGATGTCCCTTCATAAACTGATCTTTGCCCCCAAACGGGGCGCCACTGAATCCATTATAATGCTGAGGCTATTTATCCTTGGACGTGAACTCTCTACCCTGGTTGCGGATACGCTAGATCCTTTGAGCTATATCTACTAACTGGAGGAAAGGAGTCCCCAACTCTACCTCTCAGGCCATAGAAACATGTATCCCATAGTGTAAGATCATAATAAATCTCTACACTCTCTGTGTGTCTATAGGAAGAATGATAGATACATGATGAGACTCAGTGAGTCTCACCTCATAATCGGTCACAGACATCTGACCTTGCTGGAGCTGCTCGAACTAACCCCGAAACTCCTCCCTCTATGAAATTGGAATATACTTCTCTAGGAATATGTGATCGGGTCCAACCCTACACCACAATAGAGTGGCAAGAGCGGTCGATGCAGCTTTTACCCGAGAAGGTCGGGATCGAATCCACAGGGAGCTAGAATAAGTTAGGGATTGGGTTCCTATCTAAACTAGCAATGCACAGTGTAATTTTTCACACTTCCAAACATGCTTCGATTTTTTTTACTATTCTAAATTTTATACTAATGATGCAGGAAATTTGACTAAGTATGATATTTTTTTTTTGTAGACTTTTCTTGATTGGTAGACTAAGGGAAGTGACTTACTCCTAGGTGAGTATCTAACGAGATCTAAAACTTAGGGCAATTTGTTATAGCTAGGATCCTGATATAGCCAATGCACGAAACCACTCACTCTATACCTCTCAGTAGTTTGAGTGATTATGACCTAATTTGCTTTCTCAAGTCCAATTGGGTGTTCAAATTTGTGCAAGAAAAATTGGCTCAAGTCGGGTATTACTATATCTAGGTTTAACCCTTTAATTGGGGCTATCAATCTCTTGAATAAGATAGAATGCACCCCAATTCCTTGTTGGCTTAAATTTCCTAGACTTGGACTCTCTTTCTCAAAAAGAGCCTAAGTCAAAAAGACACTAATTAGTATTTTCAACCACCAATTCAACATTAAAAGCACAAAACAGGCCAAATATCATTCACCCATAAACATCTAAGCCCTAAAACAAGAGACCCATTAAATACCCACACTAGGGTTGAGCCACACCCTAGCTAATGGGTTTAGCTACTCATAATTGAAGAAGAAATCATAGATTGAGATGAAGGATAACCCATAAAATGTAATTCCAAGTTAAGATTCTAAGATTAATTTCTAAACAAGCTAAAAAATTACTCAAAATAGGTAAAATGCAGCATTCACGTGCTCAACTACAGATAAGATGACCTAAAAATCTGAAAAAGTAGTATTTATACACAGCCAAATTTTTCGGACCAAAATGCCCCTAACAGAGGTACCGCTGATAGCGGAAAATGACCGCTGTAGCGGTGAGGCTACCACGGACGGTGGTATTCAGCTTTAGCTCAGACTCTAGGCTCTCTAAATCTCTTCTCCGTGGACCGCGGTAAAAGGACCTTTGTCGCGGTAGGGGTACCGCGGTCGCATAAAATCACCGCGGACCGTGGTAACTTGCAATGCCTCAAATTGTATCTTTCTGAACCTTGCCACTGCGGAATGCAATAAAAGGACCGCAGTCGCGGTGGGTCTTCTGCGGCCGCGGTGGATTTTCCGCTGTAGCGCTGCTTTGACTTGGTTTTGAACTTATGCATGTTTCACATCTTTTTTGAACT